TTCCGACCACATTATTCCTCCAAGTCTACGATCCAGTCAGGTGTTGACTTTTAGACTTTCACGCTTTCTTCTGTGTTATATCTTCATCTGCCTCCATCATGCCGGATCCCGTTCCCAAGGATGGTACTTCTGCTATTGCCAGAGTTCATTTAACGCTCCCTGAATTTTGGCAAAATGCGCCTGAACTTTACTTCTTCCACATTGAGGCGTCATTCCATTCGGCGAATATTACGCAGGAGATAGATAAATATTATAAACTGGTCGAGGCCCTCCCACCCACCATTCTCTCCCAGGTGCAAACCCTCTTACGTGACCCTCCAGCCGACTCCCCATATACGAAACTTAAGGACGAGCTTTTACGCCTAACGGCAGTGTCTGATCGCCAACGTTACCACACCCTGGACGACAAGTTCTTCAAAGAAATGTTTTTGGCACTCCTTCCAAAATCTGTTCAAACGATCCTAGCTTCTTGCTCGGATGATTTAGACGTCGCGACGCTAGCGAGAAAGGCCGATCACATACTTGAGGTGGAGCGTTTGGCTGCCCCAACAGTTGCACAGGTTTCACAGCCTGTAACGACACCCGCCCCGGAGTTGGCCGAGCTCAAAGCTCAGGTTGCTCAAATGTCGGCGACCCTCGCCACCCTACAGCTGCGCAAATCTACCCATCGTTCCGTCAGTCCCGACCGGCGTCGTTCCGTCAGCCTTGACCGACGTCGTTCCACTTATCGTCCAAGAACCGCAGACTTATGCTGGTATCATGTAAACTTTGGCGATGAGGCTCGACGCTGTGTTCCACCCTGCTCCTTCAAATCCTCACAGGGTAACTCCTCGGCCAGAGAGTAAATGCGGCCGAGCCCTCTGGCAGCTTGACCGGTCGCCCCTTCTACGCCTACGACACCCTGAATGGCAGACGTTTCTTGGTTGGCACTGACGCTCAACTGGGTGTCATTCCTTCTTCACCAACCGACCGTCAATGCCCCAACCCCGGCCTTTCCCTTCAGGCCGTCAATACTTCGCCAATTGCCACCTTCGGTACCTGTTCTCTCTTTCTTGACATTGGCTTCGGACGTCTCTTCCCTTGGGTGTTTGTCGTCGCTGACGAGCCCTCCGCCATTCTGGGTGCAGACTTCCTCGTTGCCTTCAATCTCATGGCGGACTGCTGCCAGTCCACTTTGCATGACTAGACAATCCAATTCCCTGTGATGACTCCCACGCTCTCACACTTTGGACGCGGCCTTCTCACAAGGGATCGTGCACTCGTCTGACTGTTAAATTTCTCAAACCTATTCTCCACTAACCCGTACAGAATATACTATCCATCCAGCTGGCGTCCCACTTCTTCTCTTCCCACACGGAACCGGGCCTGAAGATCGCAGCGGCAAGCGTTTTACCTATTAACTTAACCCATTGTGATAAACCGGCTGTAGGCAGGACGTTTACTGAGTACGGGAAGCGGCAGAAGTGTGGAGCCATAGGAGGCATGACGGGGTATATGGCATAAGGGGAATGAAGAGTGATCAGTCAGCAGAAGGGAGGTGCCCGTGACCTTCATCGTTTGCTTGTCACGCACGTGTAGCCTGATGGCTAAGCAGTATGGGTAGCATACAGTCCAGTTTTCTTGACTGACTTTAGAACACAGTCCACGAATCCATACTGTACAGGAACGGAGTCAGGAGACTGG